ATATTTTACAGCTCAACAAAACAACCACACTTATATTAATTTTTTTCTGAGGCACACAGGACTGGTGTTTTCGAGCTCTGGTTTCAAATGGCACGCGCGGATGAGAATGGTCACTCATTCCCCCTTGACAGTTTGCCAGATCATTGTAAGTTAATCCCCAGGTAACAGTTGGTACCCATCATACAGCTGGGTACACTGGAACAAGTGGAGTAAAGTATCTTACTCAAGGACACAACAGCATGATGAGGGTCAGCCTCGAACTCGCAACCATCCGACTGCGATCCCAAAGTGTGAGGCCACTGAGCCATACTGCTCTTTTTTTATTAATACAAGTCATATTTTACATGTTTATTGAAATAACATACTTGAATAGTGTATTCAACCTTTAAACATTTACAGAAAAAATACACATCTTGATAAAAAAGTTAGGAAAAAATGACTTTTTTTACACCAGATAATTATAAAATAACTTTTTTATTTTAACCAATGAAGTCACAAAGGCAAAACTTTGCTCATAATAAAATTATTTTATAACTATCCAGTGGAAAAAGGTCATTTTTTTCCTAATCTATTTATCAAAATATTTAACCTCTGTTCAGAACAAGAAAGAAAATTAATTTCTAATATTGGAACAGCACACATCTTTTTAATAATGTTTATATATATTTATCTTTTATGTAGTTATTACAGTAATACCTTTCAGAAACTTAAAAAACAGAATGATACCTGCATCCAATAGAAATATTTCCGGCTAGACAATTTAAACTTTAGAACATAAACTCTGCCCGTGGTACATACAGTAATACCTTTCAGAAACTTAAAAAACAGAATGATATACCTGCATCCAATAGAAATATTTCCGGCTAGACAATTTAAACTTTAGAACATAAACTCTGCCCGTGGTACACTGCTGAACTTTCTTGAGTTCCACATCATCTGGGAAAATTATGAGATCCTACAAGAAATAAGATTTAAAAAGTACTTTAGAGCTGAAGGTTCTAAGCAAACTACAGTTTAGCTCCAGGAATAAAACACAACAGAATTGTTAGAGATAACACATAACTGACTATATTTATTAAAGCGTTATAATTTCAATGTCTAATTTCAAGATAAAGAACAAATCAAAGTGTGAGCTACGTTCATCATTTAACAAGTTATTGCTTCTCTTATACCAAATGTGACAAAAATATATGTTAGTTGTCACTGCTTCAACTTAAGCTAAAAGCAATTTTAAAATGAGACAGAAATAAAAATACATGCTTACATCTTACAATCTCATTACAGCTAAAAAAAATAAACACCAGAAGTTTACATTACCTTATTACACTCAAAACAAACTGACAAAAAAAAAAACAAGTCAATAGCACAAGCACAATCTGTCTTCGGAGTTGAAAAAGAATATTTTTGAGAAAACTGAAACAATTCAGAACAAACTGGAAATATATATATATATATATATATTCCTTGGAAAATACTACTTACACAAAAATGAAACCAATCTCTGTAGAGCTTTCAAAGCCAACAAAATAAATACTATGCATACTAGGCAAGTAGTTTGATGGAAATAGGAATCAAACCCAAGACCCTTAAATCACGAGCTTCCTCCCCACCCTGAATCATCAAAGTTGAACACACTAAGTAACAAAAAATATTACAACGAAAATTGGAAACTAAGATCAAGGATAGTAATAATGAAATAAAATTACATTCACTCGAGGGAAAGCTAGCAGGAAGTTTACATTTCCTCATGAATTGTTTTTTTTTTATTTAATCCATGGAATATGCTCACTTTCATTGGTCATAACTAAAGGAATACAGATGGACCATGCATTCCCGATCAGAAGAGCCAACTAAAAAAATCAAATTCCTCGGTAATGTAGTATTTTGATCTCTGAAGATTTTGGTTAGTTGCTTATTTTTGTGACAATCAATATAAATGTAATTTTGATTAATCAATTTGTTTAAATTACACTAATTGGCATAATTGCTAGTTTTTCAAAAGAATAATTTTTTCAACATATTTTTTATAATTAGCAAACTTGAAAGTATTACTGTCTAAGTTATCCAAATATTTAACATAAATAAGTAACACAGAATGTTTTAAAATGGTTGCAATTCATTAACTACATGCTTCCGATTGGCAAAATTTTTCTTCATCCCTTTCACTGTATTCTAAAACTAATAATTTTTGTATCCATTTTTTTCTACCAATGCAAAGAAGTATTAATCTTACAAATCAACCTCTTTTGAGGCAATTAATCACTCTCTCTGAATGTTCAAATACATAAAATCAACATTGGTATAGTCATCCAAAAATTTTCAGTATTTCTAAAAAAAAAATGGAATTGGGAAACAGATAAAACCTTAAATAAGTGCCAACTGTCCAAATACTTTTCTAAATGACTTCTAAGAGCACATTCCAACACCTTCCTAAAAATAATAATAATGAATAAGGATTATGGAAATCTCACAACCATTATGAATTCCCCTTGTATCAAACATAGTTTGAAAAAAACAGAAACAATAGAGAATTCACTAAATGTTTGCTAAACTTCTTACAGTATCTTAAAATAAATCTTGTTCTGGCCAAAAACTGAACAAGAAGTTTTTCTAAAACAGCTTCTTCAACATTAATAGTAATTAATAAAGAAATTAGAGTAACCCTGATTTTGAATTAACAACATATTCTAGTCCACTATGACTGTCCAGATCATTCTGAATCAGACATTCTCTACAAATGTACAATCCTGTTTTGAAATATTGCCATCAAAGTATATTTACATCAATTTAAAAATATTTTATTATAATAATAAATTAATATAATAACACTGTAATAAAAACGTAATTAAATAAAGCGTACGTCTTCAACTGATCCAGAACTCCGATCTTTCCAGCAGAAATGCATTAGGGAATCGTCAGCCTGATATACGTACACGAGACCTTTTCGCTTGTCAGGATGTACCATATTGCCCTTCATAGTCATTTTACCAGCCCTAAACTCCACAAGGTATTTGCTTTGTCCCTGGCTGGATCCACTGTTTCCAAATAAAAACGGTCTAGCCATATTTCAATAAAAATAATGATTGGAGAAATCCTGAAAACACAAACAGTAGCTTCGTATTTAATTTTATTATTCTTTAGAACTTACTTAGCTAATTCGTAAACAAATGAATTTCAAGCTTTCCACATTTCCAATACCAACTAGCGACTCAATACGCTCACTTCTAGTAAATCGCTGTAGACCGCATACAATAAGCTGAACTTCTTTGTAAATTTTATCCGTAAGTGTCGCTTTGGTCGTGTTACCCCATAAGAAAAAGTCATCGCAGCAAACTAAAGACTGTGACATATTTTCGAGATAACGTATAAATATAAAAGTATCATCATAATAGTTCTTGACTGAATAAATAAACACATTTACTTGCAGGAAAAATAATAACAATAATTATAAGTAATAAAAATGGTATTGAATAATATTTATTTCCATACATTAGATTAGCCATTAAAATAAATATTAATACAAATTCTTTACTAGCACTTAATAATAATAAAAACAAATTAAAATATTATATGTTAATCATTTGTCATGGTACCTTTCAGTATATTACGGACGTACGAAGTGTGGTGATTCAGTTTCCCTCTCAACCTCACAAAGATAAGGTAATAACTATTTTGTATTATTAATAAATTCAAATAAAAAAATAAGCACACTGTCATGCTAACTGTTATACAATCTGCAACACTTTCATTTTTTGCATAGGAAACATCTCCAACGTCTACTTGTGCAGTTTGCCATATTACTGAATAAGCCACTTTCAAGTTCACCAAAAATTCAGTGACACGAGAAGTTGGAATTTATGTCATATTACCCCAGCTTTATAATAAATTACGCAATTGTGACACTCTGTTTGGAGTGACCAGACAGAGTGATTTTTTCTTCCTGGAATGTTCAGTTTATGTTGGATGAAAATCGTGAACGCTGGTTTTAGACCCGAAGCAGAGATTGATGCATTTTCCAGTCTTGTCGAGAAACAAACTTTATACTGGTACCACTTCCACTGTTAATTATTATAGTATAAAAAAATGGTAACAGTAATCTTTTCCATATTATTAATAAACAAACAAAAAACTCAATTATTTTTGCAAAAACATTTTAGTACAGGCATTTATATTTGGACTTTGGAAGGATGAAGTAGTTAATTAGGTGTTATAAAAGTGTTTCCTTCTTTCGAATGGAATTAAACCATGCTTAATACTAATAGTTACTATGTGGCTTCTTCTAAAGTAACAAAGTATCAGGCATGATAAATACAAACTTTTCCTATTGATTAAATAACTTTAAATTGCATAGTTTGTTAATGTTAAAACACAGAAATGTGTGTTGCTTCGTAGCGCCCTCACCTAAGATGATATCTTAACCAACATCCTTGAATTTTTTTGTCCAAACTTATTTAAGTGTACTTTTTTTACCCTCTGCGCGCGTTTAGACATGCTTTTATGTCGATAGGTGTCGTTTGAATGGTACATGAAAGAAGATTATTTTAATTGGCTGACATAATTATTGTTTTAAAACCGCCCTTGAAAACGAGTGTAGATGGACACAGTAATTTATGAATCCATTGGGTCTGTCATGGGAAATAATAACTGAGGCGATTTTCTGTTCCCTTCCTCAACAAATACACTTTTATTGTGAGGTACCTAAGTCAACAAACAAGGTGAGACTGAAAGTACTACCATATGGGACTGGAATCACGAACCCTCATATTCACAGTCCAAAGCGCTAAATACTAGGGCAACAACTGAGCTGAATTAAAATGGAAAAAATAATATAAAGTTTCGAATACAACCTGTTTGTTGAAATGAAAAACGGATAATCTTTGTATAAGTAGACATTTTGTAGAAAAAAAATGTTTTGTATTTGTCGAATCTAAATCCGGATACTTTATCAAACGGTAAGAATTTGTTTTAATAGCAGTTTGTTTGTTTTTTACATAAAGTTAAACATCTTGTTTAAGAGATACGAAAAGTTTGACATTTTCAACTTCAAAACTAAGTTTCTCTGAAGTCAACTAACCTCGAAATAATAGGAGTTACTAACTTAACTAAACTTGCCGAAGAGCAGAGTTAGTTTGGTGGTTACTTAAGTCTAAGAAAAATTGGTTTCGCATATTTCGTGTACCAGGAAAGAGAAAATTGCCAAGAATAAAAAGAAAAGTTAAATCTTCTAGGTGGAACATATTGTTATCTCGACTTTTTGTTTTTCTTAACTTATTTTGAGATAAAATTTAATGGCAGAGTATGTGAAGTTAGGTAGGTGTGGGTTATTACAGATTGATAAACGATTAAAAAATGGTTTATTGTCTTCATGGTGAAACTATATCTCGTTGATGTGATTATTCATAACATGTTAAGTTTTGCATAAAACATCTACGTCTCCGGTACGTGAAAATGGTGTTTCTCCGAGTTATTTCCAAGTTTATTTTTTATTTTCATGTTACAGAGTTTTTCTTAAAATATTAATCGTGTTAGATTTTGAGAGTTTTAAATTTGTTATTCGCCTCTTCTGTCTATTAATTTTAAATCATAGCACGAGGAAGAGATATTTTTTCAAAGTAGTGAAAACTTGATATCTTGTTGATTTTGTTTGTTTGTTTTTAAGCACAAAGCTACACGTTACTAGGAGTACAACCACGTTATACTACATCGTCACTATTGTTGTTACTAGCAGTACAACTACGTTATACTACATCACTATTGTTGTTACTAGGAGTTCAACTACGTTATACTACATCGTCACTATTGTTGTTACTAGCAGTACAACTACGTTATACTACATCGTCACTATTGTTGTTACTAGGAGTACATATGAAACATATTATAAAAGATTTGTTACCCCACATTCCTGTAGAATAGCTGGTAAAAAAATGATTAACTTTAGGTCTATTGTAATATTTACTCAGCATTATGACCGAAATGTCTTGGTTGTGGATTAACTTTTAAACCATTATTTTGCACTTAAGAGCATAAAAATTGTACTTAAATAGTGAAAATAAAATAAAAATTCTAAGCTCTACGAGTTCCATTAAAATTTACGAAAAGTAACACTCAAGTTGGATTTTGTTTAATTTCTTAAATAGGTATTAAAACAAATCAAAAGTATAATATGTAGAGAGAGCTTGATCTCATAACATACCACTAGATGGAAGCACTTATTCTACTGGGAAACATAATACATTCTAATGCTCTAAGGCTTCTAAGCTATGCGTTTATTGTACCCAAATCTGATAAGCTATTTTATTATGAAAATAAAACTGGCAGTCTATATGGCATATGGCACGAGTAATAGTGTTTGTAAATTAATGCACTATGGCACCTAGTGGACAAATTTTACACTACCCGGTATGTGTTTAATCTAAAAATCAATCCACTCCACTCCTTTCTGAGTGATTCAGCGAAAAGTCTGATGGCTCATAACGCTAAAAACAAGGTTTTAATACTTATGGTGTGCACAGCGCAGATATCCTAACTTCCTAGTAACAACAATAGTGACAATGTAGTATAGCGTGGTTGTACTCCTAGTAACAACAATAGTGACAATGTAGTATAATGTGGTTGTACTCCTAGTAACAACAATAGTGACAATGTAGTATAACGTGGTTGTACTCCTAGTAACAACAATAGTGACGATGTAGTATAACGTGGTTGTACTGCTAGTAACAACAATAGTGACGATGTAGTATAACGTGGTTGTACTCCTAGTAACAACAATAGTGACAATGTAGTATAGCGTGGTTGTACTCCTAGTAACAACAATAGTGACAATGTAGTATAGCGTGGTTGTACTCCCAGTAACAACAATAGTGACGATGTAGTATAACGTCGTTGTACTCCTAATAACAACAATAGTGACGATGTAGTATAACGTAGTTATATTCCTAGTAACAAGAATAGTGACGATGTAGTATAACGTAGTTATATTCCTAGTAACAAGAATAGTGACAATGTAGTATAACGTA